TTAATCGTAACATTATTAAATTAATGCTGCAAAAAAATAATCATAGATCTTTTTCCACCACAGAAATCTAAAGATGAGCAAACAAAATATACAATAACATTTGTATATTTTACAGTAACAAGAACGTGTTTGTACGATACATGATAGACGAATATTACTAAAGGGTTATCGTTCGACGTAATACACGAGTTGAGCTGAGTAAAGGAAGAAATGGAAAAAGAAAATCATCGAATTAACAAACTGAACTGCAACCTGATAAAGAATCAGAACGAGGCACGTGACTTAGTATTCAAGGAAGACGAGTTTCGAAATTGTGAATAGATAGATTAAATTTTATTTTAATTCTTCGCTGTCAAAGTTTTCTTTTAATGAAGAAATAAGATTTTTTCATTACATATTTACCATTTTTTAAAAACATGCTTTGAGTACACTTTTGTTTAATAAAAATATACTTTTTAATGCAATTAGTTATTTAAATAAAATTACCAGACAATATCGAATAAAAACAAATTGAAAATAGATGTTAATTAAAAATATTTTTTTAGTAAATTTATTTAGATTTTTTGTAGTATTAAAATAATTATATAAAATTAAAAAGTATGACATCAACTTAAGAAAATGGCACACACTTTAACTTAAATTTGTTGGGAACCAAAAGGATTTCAAAATAGGATATGAAATGTATTTTAAAATAATTTATATTATGTTTAAATGTAATAGTAGCATGAAAGAATTCTTTCAGCATGCAGAACTGAAAGAACAAAGTAACGAAAAGAGGGTACAAGAAGACAAACATTTTAGGACCTGCATGACGAAAGAAAAAGAGGTAAAGCATGAAGAAGACAGAAAAAAAGAGGAAGAGTTATTTACACCAAAAACAAATGCAATGCTTGGACTTTGTGCTATTTGTCATCTCACTCTTGCAAACATAAATTCTAATATCCATCAAAATGTTTCCTGTTCCAAAGGACATGTCCTATGTCAACGTTGCATTCTGCAGTTTAGAGTTCAATCAGGTTAATTAACATAATTATTTTAAATATTTTCATAACAACGTCATTCTACACTATCATTTTATCAGTATATGCAATTTTGTATCCTTAAAAGAAATATATGTATTTCTAATTAAAATGTTGTCACATATAACAAAACAATTTGCAGAAAGTAAATGGTATGTGCTACACTATCTTATATTTCATAAAAATTTATTTTTCTACATAATCTAATTAATTAGTATAATACACACAGGATGATTCACGTAACTGTAACAAGCCATATTTTTTTTGTTTGAAGTTCGAAAAAAATGTTAAAGGTAAAAGATGAATGGTTCAAGGTGGAATACATACATATGTATTCACGATCGTATTTTTTTCATAATAATGCATGCGCATTTTGCAGTTGCACTATTTCCTTTAAATGGAAACCTTTTACTTTATTTTTTTTTTTGCATTCATCGAATCCTCGTCATTCTACGTAAAAAAGTATTATGATAACATGATCGAGAAATGATTTGTTCGCGAAATATTTTGAAAAAGTATCTTTATTAAAGAAGATGCTCAAACGCCTTTCCATTACAATCTAAACATTTCGTACAACGCTTTTTAATCGTTTTCATAACTGAATTAAATTGATCTTTGGTCATTGCTTTGCAATTTACTGTTATTTGTTCTTTTACATCTTCTACAGAATTTAAAGGATGTGGGTATACCTTATATTTTAAGAAATCCCATAGAAAAAGATCTAGATGGTTCAAGTCGGGCGAGCGTGGTAGCCACAGTGTCGGAAAACGTGTACTGAAGTAAGTACTTATTGCAATATGTACGTGTAAGCAATTGTGTAACTACCCTTGCATTGTGTGCTAGAGCATCATCTTGTTGGAAATATTGTAAATTTATTTGTTTTTATAATAGAACATCATGAAAAAGTGTTGACAGTATTGATTGTAAGAAGTGTAAATATCTTTCCGCATTTAAAAAATTGTCGAAAAAATATGGACCAATAAGACTAGTATTCAAAATGCCATACTACATGTTAATACTAAATCATATTTGATGATTGGTATTTCTTCTAATGTGTGGGTTTTCCATGAACAATGTGTGTTCGTTATGTCGATTAAATACACCGCTGTTTGTAAATATGTACATCTGTCCATGAGACTGTTCGAGAAAAATTTTCATTTTTTTGTGTCATTTAATACGAATCAGCAAAATCGTATGCGTTTTATTTTATCTCTATTATGTAATGTTTATCCAATACTAAAATGATATGGATGTAATTTTTGTAATTTTAGTATTCGCACAATGGAGGCTTGACTTATGTATGTTGCATTGTCTCTATATTTCTCGTGTTGAAGCATTTCGATTAATTTGTAAGCATGCTAAGATGTCTATTACGTTGTTCTCGTTGTTTAATAATAATTTCGTAGGTTGTCTTTGTAGGTTCTATAAATGCACCATACTTTCTTAAATTACTCTTCAATCTGTAGAAGTATGCTCATGATAGTTGTTGACGCTCGGATATTCCTTGCGATACATTCGAACTGCTGCAGACATATTTTTATTACACTCCAGATACACACCATACATATCAACTCTTTCACTGTTTGTAAAATGTAACATTTTATGAATTATAAGTTGTACAACTGTGGTAGATTTCGTACTCGCGTTACGGTAAATTACCATCGACTGATGAAACGTTTCCAGATATACAGGGTGTCCCGTAAAGAGTGTAACACCCGGAAACGGGGGGCTGCTGGGGTGACTCTGAACAACTTTTTCCTTTACCAAAATGTTGGTTGAAACTTCGTTTTTGAATTATTAACGAAAAACACTGGCCAATCAGAGCGCGCGTAGAGCCCGCGCCCAGGGACGACGAACAGAGACTCATCATACAGTGGAAGACAAAAGAATTCATACAGTTTATAAAATAGAATAACTTTTTTAAAATTGGGCCAAACAACCTGAGTTTTTTTTAGAAGTTAGAAAGATTAGTTTACTAGATGATGTATAAAAAAATATTTGAGAAAAATCCAATTAGTCGGCATCGCGAAGAAAAAACGCGAAGGTCGTTTTTAAATGGTCCCAAACCATTTGGGATCCCCTTTCGAACTTTACTGCCGGCTAAAGATTTTGAATTTTTATTTCTTCATTTGGTTTTCTCCGAACATTTATTTTTCCATCGGATGAAAATATATTTAATTTTGACTTGTCGGAGAAAAGTGCCGTGTTTCCAAAAATCAAAATCCTTTTTTAAGTATTCCCTGTTAAATTCTACCGGATTCCTCCTGTTTTGGCGACTAACATACGGTTTGTTTCGAGTCACTCATCCATGGAAACTATTACATCTAAGTATTCTTGTAATAGCAGCTCACTTATTCCCATTCCTAAATATTTTAACTTCAACGACTAACTTTGATGCACTAATTTGCGAGTTATTATTAACAATTTCAATAATCCAACGCTCGTCTCATATATTTAGCTTTTGTATTTGTTCGATACACGATTACATTTCTTATATCACTTAATTATATGCTGTACTGTACTTCTTCTTTTATTAATTATTCCAGAAATTTCACTGCAACTTTTTTCATTTTCGTGGTTATACATAAATAACCAACTCACGTTCTGTAATAGTTACTTGCCTCATTTTTGTGTTATTTTTACTTGATTCACACTAAACTGCAACTGACTAAAACTAAAAAACATTTGAATAACGACGAAAACAAAGAATGACCAATTATTAGACATAAGAATATCGGGTATTTCCCAAATTATGAGAGTTTTACTAACGTGTACGATTTTTAGTGACTGGCAATTTCTGTACGTTATTTTCGTATTTGCTTAATTTACCTATTATAAATAAAGCTTTTAATTTACAATCATTAAATATCTAATAAAGATATATTAATGTATTTACTTCTAAATTTCCTTCATTTTAAACACACGATAACAATATTTTTCTAGCAAAAATCTAGTAAGTGTAACGGTGTACGATTTTAACTGACACTCACTGTATTTGTTTTTGTTATGGAAACAAACAATAATGAAGAAGCGATATAAGAAGTGTTTACATAGTGTTACAACGAAGCGTTTGAACATCTCCTTTAATAAAGACATTTTTTCCAAATACAGTGAAACCTCGATAACTCGAATCTCAAGGGAAGGGAAAAAATCTTCGAGTTGTAGAGGTTTCGACTTATCGAATTTTCGAGTAGGAGAGATCATTAGCAATATCCTTTTTCTTTACTGATACAGTTTTTACTATTTCAATTATGTTTATTTTATCAGCCAATGTTAATGTTTTCCGTTTGCGTTTAGAATTCGTTTTGCTACATATAATCTAGAGAAAAGAATGAGAAACTATAGAATTGTGCTTTAACTTATTCCTTCAATCTTTCACAGCAAACTGCTTTTATGATCAAAACGCATGCACTGTTTACCTCTATAAAGAAATAAACAATTGACGATCGTTGAACCGTTGATCCTATTGGATCGATTGACTGATATGTAGAAATTAACTTCGACTTGTAGAGGTCGAAGTTTTTTTGAATTCGAGTTGTAGAGGTAAAATACATATTAAACATGCGACAAATAATTCGAGTTAATGGAAGTTTTATTTCGAGTTGTAGAGATTTTTACAGCAGAGTGGAAGGGAATGAAGAAATTTTCGTCTTATAGAACTTTTCGAGTTATTAACGTTTCACTGTACTTCGCGAGCTAATCATTTTTCGACCATGTTACCCTAATACTTTTTTACGTAGAATAATGGGAGGTTTTGATGCTTGTAAAAAAGGTAGTTTCTATTTTAAAAAATAGTGTAACTGCAAAATGCATATGCATTGTTACACTTGAAAGAAAAAAATATGATTGTGAATATGTAATTCACTTTAAACCATTCATCTTTTACCTGTAACATTTTTTTCTAAGTTCAACCAAAAAGAAGATATGGCTTGTGACAGTTGCGTAAATCACCCTGTATACTATTGTTTGAAATTATAATGTGAGTATATAAATTAATTAAATTGGTTTGAACAAGGAGGTACAAGTGCAATTATATATTGCAGACCCAGGCTGCATTCTTTGTCATGCACAACATCAACAATCAGGCATAAATTTATCACGAGAAAGCAACGTCAGTTTAAATTCCACATACACGCGTTTAAAAAGAACGCAAATTCCACATCAGCAAGCAGAATATTATTCGAGACATCAATTACAACAATGCATGCCTAGTGATGTAGAACAATCATATACTAAATCTTGGAATCCGAATTACTCATCCATAGCACCTAATATTAAAGAAAATACATTAAGATATAATAATGATTTTGAAGAAACTTCTGACTATGAGCACATTACGGACCAGAATAATATTCGCAAAGAACGAAACAAAGATATTTATAATCAAAAACAGCAACTAAGTTACTGTAATTCATTTAGAAAAGGAAATATGGATTCATATATATCCGAAGCAAAAGTTAATGGACAAGTTACTGCGGAATGTTCTCGTAGACCGATCCGTTGTCCGCGAATTGATTGCGCTATAAATGTAGCTTTTTCAGCGTTAACACATCATTTCATCTTCGATCATCCGGAAGTGCCAATTTTGAACGTAGAGCCAGGTATTAAAAGTACGCTCATCGTCAGTTTCGATGCCTTATCTTCAAATTCCAGTCGATGCTTGGCTCTTCTTTTAGTTTCCGGTAAACTCTCGTAAGTATAAGCAAGTATATTAAATTATATCATAAAATACAAAAATGTACTGCTATTATTATATAAATGGACACTTTCCAATAAAATATTAAATAAATAATAGCAAACTTATATAGTTAAGTATTTCACCTAATACGTTGAAAATTCGTCGCTAAAATAAAAACGTAAAAAGAAATAAATAAAAATAAACGTATAAAAATAAAAAACGTAATTTAGCAATGAATGTTTCTTTTGAAGTAACAAATATTATAGTTATACAGAAGACAAAATTTATTTTTTTGTATTTAGAAAATTTTGAAAATATACTATAATAAAGCTTATATAATTATAACCGATTAATATAAATGTTTATGCTAAGAGATCCTGTTGCAAGATTATTTACTGGTAATCAAATCAACCCAAAATATCGAAATCGTTTACCGTTACCAGTATTAGCAGCTCGGCTTCATTGTACAGATCACTATATACCTAACAACAAGATTAATAAAATGAAAAATTATCGTGAAAAAGATATAATTATTGCTTGGGTTGCCGGACTGGATATTGGAAATACAACAGAGAAACTTTTGTGTAGTATTCAGGTATATTATATAATTAAAATAACAATTCAATTAAACAAATGATTAATGCCTATGTACATAATAAATGATATGCATATAATAAGAAATGGGCTACTTCCACAACAGGCTGTGGACAAGATTGATAATGAAGGCTTACGTTCCCTAACATACACAGGTCCTGTGAACTCACTAAGAACAACTCAATGTCCTCAAGATATTTTCTCAACAGGTGACTGCATAGTTCTGCATGAAGGTCTTCTCAGTCACATTACATCAGATTGTGCTACACTCAATGTTAATGTTACTGTACATTAAATATATTACAAACGGGTGTAGATATATAAAATTAAATTCTAATATTCCCATTAACGTCCTTAATAATGATACTTACATGGAGAAAATCATATCTTTTATATATATCCAAATTTTTGGATGTCATTTAAAAGTGTAATACTATGTAAAAGTATAGTATTATTTCAATGTATGTATAAAATGCAAAAAGGTACAAAATTATATTTTGTATATTATAAGCTCGTCATAGCAGGAGGACGGGCATATGCTTTTGGAATAAACCCATATTTGCGAGTTTTAGGTGCATATGCCCATAACCAACCATCTACAGTTTGATTCCCTAAGTCCGCGTATATCCAGTCGGCTCTCCTCACAGATAAGTCATCCGGCGCCTGCGCCTTATAGTCATAAAGTACAACTAATTCTGTGCCGTTTGTTTCATCTCGAAAATCCCGTAAACCTTTCTGCTGCAGTGACTCATTTCCTGGCATACTGCTACTTCCTTTTCCTTTAAATCAAATATTAAAGTGAACTAAAATTTTAAATACAGTCAGATATTATTAATATCCTTAATGTTAATATCGTGTCATAAATTTCAAGAGCAATCATACAAAAACATCTATTTCTTGACGATAATGTATTTCTTATTTTTTATAAATAAAAAATAAATATTTGCAATAAAGTTGTAAACCTCAAATAAAATTGAACTCGTTTTCAGGAATTTTATTAAATTTAATTTGTATGAAAAGGAAAACCAACCTAAACTATGTGTTTCTGTAGATGTTGTAGCTACAGTAGTAGTGGTAGTGGTTGTAGTAGTTGTTGCATATGAGTGAAGAACATGTCCTGGATAGACAAATCCAGATGGCACAAATCCTTCATTACCATCACAATGTCTAAGTACCCAAAACCAGTCAGGATCATCTCGATTGAGTACAGTTACAA